CAAATTCATTGCAGTGCTACAGCACAAATGGCTGACGGATTCAGACGGTTTCCAGACTGATGCTAAATAAAGACAACAAGAGCTGACTGCAATGTATCGAATACTGCAGCGCATCTTTGGTATTTCCTTACTAATGATCCCATGTATGCTGTGATAAAGACACACATATTTACTGTCAGCAGTAAAAGATGATTAGCCCGTTTAAAAGGGAGGACTTCAGTAGACGAGAAAACAACACTTTAGGCTATTAGTAAAAATTATCACAGGTCTCCGATTTTGTTGCGTTTTTTGTAGGCATTGCATTTATCGGATAATATTATGGGATGCCACAGTGGCTCATACTCCAGGGATGTAAAGCTGATTCCCGACCAGTATCTGCATGTGTGGAGTTTACATATTCTTCCCCCATTGTGTAGGGATCCTGCTGGGACTCAAATTTCTTCCCACAGTACAAAGACATACCCATTGCTGTCTCTGTATTACCCGCAAGTGGCCAGTAGTGAACTGGCATCACGTCAAGGGTGTGGTTTGTGCTTCCTGGGACAATGGGCCCCCAGCACTAGATAAGCGGTATAGGAAACAAGTGGATGATGTCACGTCAGCTTCCATGACAGCACATACACTATATGGACAAAAGTATTGGGACACACCTCATAATCATTGAATTCAGGTGTTTCATTCAGACCCATTGCCACAGGTGTATAAAATCAAGCACCCAGCCATGCAGTCAGGTTCACAAACATTCGGGAAAGAATAGGTCATTCTGAAGAGCTCAGTAAATTAAAGCATAGTACTGCCATAGGATGCCACCTTTGCACTAAGTCAGTTTGTGAAATTTCTTCCCTGCTAGATATTCCATGGTCAACTGTTAGAGGTATTATTGCAAAGTGAAAGCATTTAGGAATAATAGAAACTCAGCCTCGAAGTGGCAGATCACGTAAAGTAACAGAGCAGGGTCACCGAGTGCTGAGGCACACAGGGCGGAAAAGTCACTAATGCTCTGCTGACTCAATAACTGTAGAATTCCTCTGACATCACCCCCAGCACAAGAATTGTGCAGCAGGAGCTTCATGTAATGGGCTTCCATGGCCGAGCAGCTGCATGCAAGCTTCACATCACCAAGCACAGTTCCAGGTGTCTGATGGAGTGGAATAAAGCACACCACCACTGGACTCTGAAGCTAAGAAAACATGTCCTGTGGAGTGATGGAACACACTTCTCTGTCTGGCAGTCTGATGGATGAGTCTGGGTTTGGCAGATGCCAGGAGAACATTACCTACCTGACTGCATTGTGCCAACTGTAAAGTTTGGTGGAGGAGGGATAATGGTATGGGGTTGTTTTTCAGGGGCTGGGCTAGGCCCCTTAGTTCCAGTGAAGGGAACTCTTAATGCATCAGCATACCAAGGCATGCTAGACAATTCCATGCTTCCAACTTTGTGGGAACAGTTTGGGGAAGGTCCTTTTCTGTTCCAGCATGACTGTGCCCCAGTGCACAAAGCAAAGTCCATAAAAGGCATGATTGGGTGAGTTTGGTTTGGAAGAACTTGACTGGCCTGCACAGAACCCTGACCTAAAGCCCATCAAACATCTAGAACTAGAACAAAGATTGGAAGCCAGGCTTTCATGTCCAACATCAGTGCCTGACCTCACAAATGCTCTTCTGGATGAATGGGCAAAAATTCCCACAGATACACTCCATGAACCTGTGATAAGGCTTCCCAGAAGAGTGGCAGCTGTTATAGCTACAAAGGGGGGACCAGCTCCATATCGATTACTATGGATTTAGAATGGGATGTCATAAAAGTTCCTGTAGGTGTAATGGCCGAGTGTCCCAATATTTTTGTCTGTATCATATATATCATGAACTGTATTGGTATATACTGTAAATCTGCTGTGCCTTCTGAATGTATTAGAGAAGACTGTTTATCCCTAAATGTGCTGTAAGTGAGTGCAGTGTTTAACGCCACAACACAGGTCATAGAGAGCAAAATGCAGAGAGGCTGTAGAAGCGATGTTTCTCTCACTGAAACGTCTGAAGCAGGCACTCACTTGGGAACCAGCCAGGATACTCTGACCAATGTACGCCCTCTATATGCCTAAACTTGCTAAGAAAGCGTAAATACAGCTTTCAGTATGAAGCTACCACACAAACACACACATACAGTACACAGTGCACAACCTGAACACAACCTCAAATCAAGTCAAGACTATGACATAATTTACATTGAGCTGAATTTACTTCATGGAAAGAAATGCCAGTGCCCCATTTTCACCCCAAATCATAGCTGTGGAGATTTCAGTTAAAATTTGAGTGAAGCTGGCTGGCAGTCAGTAAATTCACAGTTTAATGTTCACTCACTACCCCTGGTTGCTGTGGATGTGAGTGAGAGAGTGCAAGACAGCAAGAGAGCGAAAGAGCAAGAGTGCAAGCTTTTTGGTAACCGAGAATATGAACCAAAAGAACAAAATGTCGTTTCCTCCATGCTGTTAAACAAGAGACCCCAGCAGCTGCACAAGAGTCTGGATAACAGATCCGTCGTCCCTGATGCAATTCCAGATTCCATGGCCCAGATCTGGCACAGATGCATAGCTGCAGAGAGGCCATGTACAGTGTTGTACTGGGCAGTTCTAATTTTCTGGCAATTACCACCTAATTAAGCATACCTACTGGGGAATCTTCTGTTGCTGTTTGAAAGACAGCCTCCACACTCACATATGCACAGAATAAGACACCTGGCCAATGAAACAACACACATGCCAACTATTAAGCGCACTGAGGACACACAAAACAAATGTACATAAAAATAAGATGCAATGACTAAGAATTTAGATTAAACTGACAAATCACAGGAAGAACATTTAACAAAATGAGATATAACCTGATTAAAACAGACACATACATTTTCCATATGACTTATGTAGTACAGGGTTTACAGTGTGCCTATAGTTTATCCCTGAAGCCACTGAAGTCCAGCACAGGGCACACACTATGGGCAACTTGGCCACTGATTAGCCTAGCTGCATGCTTTTGGACAGCAGGTGGACCTATAGAACACCCATGGCAACATAGGAAGAACATGCAAACTCATGATCTAGACAGAGCTGGAAGCGGGACTTGAACCCCCAACCCTGGAAGTGTGAGGCCACCGTAAATCACTGTAAAGCTGAATCGTATTGCCAGCCATTTTCGCCGAATATATATTCCAGACCAATCACATCAACGGTTATATTCTATAACCCATGTTTTAATGATCTTAGGTTAATTAAATGATTGTTTAAGTAAATATAAGAAGGATATTGACTAAATCATTTATAGTTCTTCACAGTATAACGTATATTGCAGACGTACACGGGCTCTGTTTGTCTTATTCTATATTTCAGACTCCACGACTTCAGTGATGGATTAAAAATAACTACAAGGCAGAATCTAATGGCTGGTTAGACCAGGCAATTTTACACCTAATATACCGTGCCCGTTAGCGCCAAAATGTCAAGCAGTCAGTGGGATATTCACAGAGAAAAGAAATTACTTGGATACCGGGATTTGCATTGCAGTTGCATGTCTTAACAGGAAACAGTCAATGTTTGTATCAGTCGTGATTTAGGATATTGTTACTGTAGGAGACATCACCATTTCGGTTTCTGCGCAGCAGGAAATTGATACGTTTGAGTGGTATTTGAGTAGTTAGATTTGATCTGCAACGGTATAAAGTGGTGGCAGCTCTTGAGTAAGTTACGTATTGCCGATATAGGCTACGATAGATTCAGTATATTGAAATTTACTCAGATCAACAAAAATGCTTTTACAGCAGCCAAAGTTAATGCCACTGGACGCGGATGCTGCGGGACGCGCTCACTTTCCGCAAATAAAACTGACACGATGTCTTATAAGAACTGAATATATGGCGCATAAATGAGATTGACTCCGATATGCAGAAAGAGGTAATTCACAGTGCTATTTCCCATAGACAGTCAAAACTGGGATTCACGCCCTTACACAATTACCTGCGATCATGCACGCTTTTTCAGTATTATCACTTGCACACATGCATGCAGGTGTACGCGAATGAGCAATTTTATTACAGCAGAAATACTTTCAAAAGCACTTTGATAACTTCACGCAACGAATTAAAGTTGATCAAAAGCAGTGTGCGCTACATTAATAACTACGCATGTTCAATAACTGAATTTGCTGAGTTTTGTCACTGCAGGCACTGCAATCAAAATAATCACTTTGTTTTCAGACAATCAAGCGCTACGTTTTTTTAAATGCTGGTAAGGTCTAATGCGAATGGATGACTTAAGAATCTTGGATACGTTTTCCAGTTTAGAAAGATAATTCGTGGGCTACTTCTAAGTACAACAGCATCAATTTAGGGCTGTTATAAAACTGACTTCATTAGCTAGATAAACGGCGCGAAAAAACCCATCTAATACTCATCTTTCCGATGCCAACATCGGTTGTAAAAAATACAAAAAACGCACGTGTCACGAGTTGATTCAAAAGATATAAAATGTAAAGATTTTTTTATGCAACTATTGTCGTTTCACACCACGAACAAGGGCTGGGCGGGCGTGGGGACGGCGACCGGGGGCTGCGATCGTATTGAGAAGACAAAATTTCTTAAGTCTATCTAGGCGATGCATCAATGCCGCAACTCGTCGGCGTAGGCTAATATATTCATGGATTTATGTTAGTAGAAATAATAAATAAAACATATGTCCCCACCCATGCAGCACACTCCAAACTTCAGTTTTTCTTTCGAATCTGACCGGTTTTAAATCCTTCCACTAAAATGAGCATTGAAGATCTCTTCTTGGACACTTAATTATTTCAACATCACAACCTAACATGACACATAAATTCACGCACAAATAATACGCTTCGAATCCCGTTTGCTTTCCTCAACCTGAAGGTTTATTCGAGAGATACAGCGCGCAGGGAGGGTGCGCATATATGCTTGTGCCAAAAGACAAGTGCCATCACCTTCAAGCTTACCTGCAAGAAACTGTAATTTCCACTTTAGTTGCCGGAATATTGCCCGTGATGGGGTCGAACTCGTAGACGGAAGCCATGTCTTCCAGTTTGTCCCTAACGTCTCCCGCCATGAGCAGCCGGGGCTCCGGGATGCTCTGTGATTCGCACAGCTTGGCCCCCCTACGAAGTCCCCTCAACACAGATCCACAAACTGGACGCCTTCGGAAGCGATCTCTGAGCCCCAGGCGAAAGGGGCGCTGCCGGGGCCACTAGCGCACGCTCCGAAGCAAAGCTCAGACACCCAGAAACCTGCGGCGAATGTAGCCTGGTGGCTTATTGTCAAACGCAAGTGAAGATCGGAGGGACTGTCAGACCCCTTTATGAGTAGGATGGTCCACCATAGCAGCTGTAGTAGTGAGGGCTGCGGCTCCACCCCCCTCTGCATTCTCCTACACGCCGACGGGTCCAGCCCGTTCATACAGCCGCCCGGCTGATTAGCTTCAGCACTTAATCAATCTGCCTTAATCACGGGTTTTTTACTTTCTTTGGCAAATCCCATTGATTAATGAGTCACTTAAAGGTAATCTATTTCTCATTAGCCGTGCATCCGTATCTAGATATGCCATTCGCTCGTGTGTAAATTTATTTTGGTTTACTCTAGTAATTGTGTCTAATTATCTTGTCTGATTATTTGCTTAGTATTTTTGCTGAAAGGCTCCATATTTCACTGCACTTCTTTTTTGGAAATGACGTTCATTTAATAACTCTAATCAACATATGCTATACGTAATATTTGCTCGGTTCATTGCTCTGCTCTTAACGTGTCGGATATTATAAATTACCCTATATAACAACGTAATTATATCACAAGTTTTTTGTGAACGACGGAAATTGTTGCAATGACCGAACATAAAATTGTTTTAACCCAGAGTCAATCCAAACGCAATATATGGAGTAGGCTATGTGGAGTATTTCACTGCATCTGTTCAGCACCTATTAAATGGACAGCTACTACTGCCCCACATTACAATGAAGTTTCATCTCGGAATAAGATGTTTCATTCGATATTTAACGTAAAGTACTCAAGGGAAAATACATCATGTTCAGCACGTGTGATGAATCTGATATGGCATTTATAAAGTAGGCCTATTTCAATTAACTGCATTATATATGGCAGTAGCCTATAGTACAAAAATGCTGAATCATAAGAAAAAGCTGAACAATTTCTTTTAAAATTAAATTCTTTTGAAATTAAATTAAATTTTAAAATTAAAATTTAAAGTTAAAATTTATAATTCTTTTGTTTCTTTTCTTGAAGATATCTTGACGGGCTTCGTGTTAGCGATTTATGATTTTCTGCCAAATATAGGGACGGTTTATAGGCCTAAGTATTTTGAGTAAAACCGACACCTGGAGTACCTTAAGAGCATCCATTCCTACTCATAATACCTACGCGTTCATTAAGAATACCGACTGGACTACACAATTTTATAACATTCTTGGCGCATCTGTGGACAAAATCGCGAAACCCCTGCTTGTAAATTTAAGCTCAATTGCATTTTTTACTGCACAATTTAAAAGGACTTTGAGAGACAGGTTCATTTACACCTCAAGCCTTCATTGAAAAAATGGTTTCCACTGTTGAAGATTACAACAAAAAATGAGCGGGTCCGAAGGGTGTACAGTACGTGTACAGGGAAGAGGCTGATGTATTTGCAACAGTGAAAACATTTCCTCAGTCTATGGTTCTGGCTTTCCGAAGTAAAATAGGATATTTTTTCCCGATGCATAAATCACTACATTCGTTCATTCCGTTGGTGCATCTTCTGGTGTAGAAATAACTCATGGCAAACCACTAGCATGATTTCTATTATACTAAAAACATTTGAATCTGTTTGTTTTAGTTAGCGACGTGGACATCGGGGACTTAATGAGCTAGATTCCTCCACCGAGCTCTTTGTGTTTGGATTTTGCATTTTTTCCCTTTGTTTCCTCCCGCAGTCCAGAAAACCGCAGGTGAACCCATACCTCGTAATTGCCTTCAGTGTGTGTAAGGGTGCTCAGTACGATCGACTGGCATCCTGCCCAGGGTGTACCCCTGCCCTGTGCCCTGTGCTTCCTAGGATAAGGTCCACCTGCACCCTGACCCACTACTAGGCAAGACGGACGGATGATGTTGAGTAGATTGATTAAAGGATAAGTAGCATACGGAGGAAAAAAGGAACGAAACTGAGAGACGAGCACAACAAACGAACGCTGGGAAAGTGGCAGATCTGTTGAATGTAATGTGATGTTTGGGAACCAATTTTCGTGAAAACGGCTTAAAATAACACGGCGTTGCAGACTTTTTTCTTTACTTATTCAATCTTCAGAATGTACATGAAAATGTTTTCCAAACTGTATTAACACGTTTTTTTTTGTGTGTGTGTGTGTGTGTGTGGTGTATTCTAAGGGGTGCTATTTCCGTACAGCTGCCAGAAGTATCAAGGTTTTAAAACGCGTTTGGTTAACAGAACAGCTGAAGATAACAGTTCCAGCTTCTCACATTTTTTTCAAGTAGAAACTGGAAGATAGGATGATGAGCCCATGTGCAAGGATGGCTGAGTTTATAGAAAACTTCACGCAGCATTTTTTGAAATCCCACGAGCTGCAGCAAAGCCAACCTGTAGCCTCTGATCAGAAACCATCTGCTAATCTGAGGTGCATATCCCGTTAATCCCCTAACACTTGAAGCATTAAATTCATCTTCCATCTTCGATCCTCTAAGCCTTCACCCTGAGCAGTGTCGTGGAGGGGTCCTGTAGGCTACCTCAGGCCTTCAAAGGGCACGAACCAGAGGGATGCCAACAAGAACGATCACACACTATAAGCAATATTCACCGTCTTTGGATGACAGGAGGACCCCAGTATGAGACATGGGGAGCAGGGCAACTGCACACGCACAGCATGAGTGCAGGATCAGAGCCTCTGCAGGCGTGAGGAAGCATGCTTACTTTGCCTTGATGCTACTGAAGTCTCATATGTATGACAACATTGCAAAGTTCAGCCAATCAGGGGACAGTAACCAGGACTGGCCAATATATACCTTCGGAATCCTTCTGTGGAAGAGTGTGTGTGTATGAGACATGAGAGTACACGTCTGCATTTGTGTGCATGTCCATGAAGTAGAAGCTACCTCTAGGCCTGGCGCTCCCCAGGAAGAACGCAGGAAGAGTTTTCCCCCAACAAACGGCTTTTGGAAAAAAATGTGTATAAAACTATTATCTCAATGGCCCAACCTGTGAAAGGGTGAAAGTAGCCCCCCTCTCCTTCTACACGAGTCACAGCTCTTGGGGGGTGGGGAGATAACAAATGAGTTCCCTAGCGGAAAAATACCTGCAAAGCATTTGCTGTGATGTTGTAGCCCGTCTGCCCTCGTGGTCATGATCTATAGCTCTTTGTGGTGCAGTTCGCTGGTTTCCACTACGGCCCCCGATCAGCTGATGCATGTTATTTCAGGATTTTTCTGGGATGTTGTTGATTACTCTGACTAGCATTATCTGCTTTCTGGATTGCTTACACTATATATATGAAAATACATATAAAATATGTATCTTCATATGCATCACACACACACACATATATATATATACAGAGAGAGAGAGAGAAAAAAGTCAATTAGGACGAACCACTGCACTATTAATTCAATCAAATTTGTTGTAATATTTTGGTAACTCTTCTCAAACAAGTTTGTTGTGGCAACACATTTTTCCCCCTCCAATTGGCTGCCCACTGTTTTCATTTGGAAGGCAAAAGATGTTGTTCTAGCTTGTGGTGCAATATTAACTTTCTGATGTAGCCTGAGGTGTAGAAGCAGAAAAATATTTTGGTGGATGAAGAAAAAGGAGATTTGGGCTCAGCATGAGTATGAAACATCCGTGTGAACAGCCCGAAGCACTGAAACGAAACCATCTAGCTGGCCATGTGTGCGTCTTACTTTGCTGGACCCGGCTGGGAGATAGTGGTTGAAACGCTTTCAAAGATACATGTGCTTGGAGCCTAATCTCTTAGCACCATGCCGACCAGGCAAAGAAGGGAATGCAGTCATGGTCTCCGTAATGTATTCACGATAACGCCTGGAGCATGCTATCTCACTCATGAGCTCCATCAGGTATCCACAGGTAGAGGTAAGGGCACTGTACTACTGACGTCCGATAAGACTTCCTTAGTACCGTAGGTAATGTTTAACCAGAGAGATGAAAGGTTGAGGAAGGTGGATTAGACGCGATAGTCCACATCTCCCCTTGCTGACTGAGGGAGAGAGTAAGCAGGCATTCATTCCATGCGGACCCTCAGGAATGGCGGAGTTGGCATTCTATCCAGCCGTAGCCCTGGTGTACTTCTTCGGAGTGCTGCAGGCCAGCCGAGAAGAGCGCGTGGAGCTGTCCGACAGAGCCTCCATCAACGTGTTCTGCCTGTTCGTCTTCATTCAGCCGCTGTGTCTGGTTCTGGGCGGCTACACCGGCATGGCTACCTACCTGATCACCGCCCTCGTCTCCTACAACTTCCTGCCTTGGAAGAAAGAGAGGACGGGCCAGCGAGGACGGCAGCAAAGCCAGAAGGGAAAGGAGAAGAATCAGTGAGGAACATCGGGTGCCGTAAAACTTGCACCAGGAAATCAAGGTTCTTGAGGAACACCTGCAAGTCCGGAACAAGACGGATTAATGATGCGTGTTTTGTTTACATCTGACCTGGGAAGATGAAAAGAAACAGAGAAATGAGAAGCACAATGCTTTGATGTGACGAAGAGGTCCTGTGGCCTTCTGCTGGGCCTGTCGAACAGTCATATCTGCTCTTTATGACTCTCAAGGCAATGTCATGCTATATGCTGTGCCTTCCTTCATTGTTCAGCCTCATTCTGTAGTTTATCTTTGTTGAACGGAAATGTATGAATAGATCAGACAGTTATGTCTAAAATAAAATGTATTAAATATGAAAAATCATTGTTTTAATGACAAGGGGATTGTGAGTAATAACAGATTATCCTCAGTTTAATGTGCCTCATATGATTAACATTCATTGTCACACATTTTACAATTCTGTTAATGACACATCCTGAATTATTTTATAAACACAGATACCCACAATGTGCAACAAATTACACAGCTTTCTGTCTACCCTTTGATTGCAAGCCACTCCTTTGTCCAAAGTCACATCAGATTCTGTCTCCTGCAGAACAAATGATAATGTTTTTAAAAAATGACTGCTTTTCTGGTGAACATGAAACGGCAACCACCAAAATGGCTTCTGTACTTATTCGCTTGAAACAAATTAGAATGTAGCCTCATTTTAGCCTAATCCAGAACGCAGGAGATCAAAGTAAGAAACAGGAGCATGTGTGTGGGGGAGGTGGTATGGTAATTCTGATAAGGGACTGATATTTCTGGCCAGCATCCACTGATGGTTCATAGGCTTCGAGAACCGGCACGTGATTGGTGTGTGAAGTATCTTACGAACCAACCAATCCTTTTGTGATCTCTAGCCAGGGTCTGCCTACCCCAGCGATGATGCCAGCCAGCAGTTACTGAAATAGAAACCTATAAGGAACCAGACAGGACTGAGGGGATGAGGGCATCTCTTGAGGGACAGGGAGATAGTCTCCAGAAGGATCCAATTCCTCATATGGAGTGCCAGGAACTAGAAACAACAGTTACCCCCCTCCTCCCCCCAGCACCACTACCAACTGTGTGGTGCTCACACCTCCAGCTGATGTATAAGGCTTCATTTCCTCAAGGCAAGTGGTGAGTCTACATGAATTCAGCACACATTAGCATGGTCACTGGTACATAAAGTGACAGGCCGCTCTAACATCAACATGATCTCTCCCAACAAAAGATCTAGAACTTTAGAAAACTTGGTCTCTCACAAACGTGCTGTGAAAACACGGAAAGACAATGCAGAGGTACACTTCAGGCGTCTAATTCCGCGTCTAGTCCCATGAGAGAAAGAGCTGTTGCCTTTCGCACCTCTGCGCAATCTGCTGAATCGCATTTCCTAGCGCAGCTACATTCCCTTCCACCCTTGACGCTGGAGGGGGAGAGAGAAGCTTCATCTTGGCATTTAAGGATCATTTTGTGAGCTGAGCCTGGGAAGGAGTGCAATCAGCTCCCATTCTGTAGCACCGCAGTCATTTGTTGCCATCAGGCATGCAAATATCAAAGCAACATGCCCTTTCCTGCCCGAGCATTAACTCCAAGTGTCAAGTTCAGAACTCAGAAGACAGTAAGCCAGCATTGAGCAATGTCTGCATTAAACATAGCACTCGAAACAACTGGATACAGTGACAAGACTCGCTATTTACAGTAGTCAAGACTGGCAGTGCCAGGAGAAACTCATGACCATCCCAAGGCAGGTTCCACCTCTGCCACCCCCTCCTGGCAAACTTCACCACTGTCCCCCCCAGTGTGAGGAGCATGTACACCCTAGTGCCCCCCCCATCTGAGGCAACGTGAACTTGACTTGCTAAATCAGCAGCCTCTCAGATGATGCCGCACTAGGTGGTCGTCTGCGTCTCTTAATGAGCTAACAGACACTGACCAAGAGCAGACGGTAGCAGAGGGACACACTTGGCAGGCTCTTGGCAAGAGAGCTTTGCCTGCAATAGGTGTCTCTATCGCACAGGAACATGGCTAATAGCACAAACCCCCCTCCCAGCAAGTTCTTCCTGGCATGTACAGCCAGGAGGAAAGCCTTCAACGAGAAGAAATTCGATTCCCTTTTGTTTCATAGTCATTTCAACTAAATTATCCTTTGTTAAGGGGCCCCGTCATTGTATGGTGCCCTGAACGGGAGAGCTGGAAATGGAATATTGGATTTCGAACAAGGCAACCGTCGCTTAAGCCCTGAGTTACTGAACTGTTCAAACAGAGACGGATAAAATACAATTAAAGAGCAGGCCTGACGGCCATGCGATGAGAGGCTTAAAACACTGAGCGGGATCTCTGCAGCATCTTATCCAGGGCAATCCTTCTTGGGACAGCTTCAAGGCTCTGCAGAACATGCACTGGATAAGCGATGTGAAGATGCGTGGGTGGATGGATGGACGGAACTTTGCAAGTTCTTTCATGATTAGCGGCCACTACAAAAAAAAACGATGCTCACGTCATCATTTCAGTTTTTATTTCACAGGAGGAACAATGGATTATCATTAAATAAAACATAGTTACAGTATTTACAATCAAATATTTTACAGTTTGGTTTCATGCACATGTAAAAAAAGAGGGAGGGGGAAGGACTTTACAGACATTTACATTCCTTGAAATGAAGGTGTGCAGCAGAGACGTTTCCGGTGTCCCGTGTTCGTGCCACACCTCTGATGTGACCACCTCCCCTCCCATCAGCACCCTGGCACTCCGGGATCGACTGGCATACGTCTCCACGGGCATTGGGGCTGTGCTTTACACTCCTCAGCTGAATCGCTGCCCCCCTGCGGTGACCAGGGGGTGAGCATCACGCAAACAGGGCATGACCTGGCTTAGGGTGCGTGGCGTGAAACGGCCGATAAGAGTGGGGCCTACGATTGGCAAGGCATCCAGCGGGCGCTGAGGAAAACAGCAAGCTGATGACCACATGATCACTGAGGATCGGCTGGTGACCACATGGTCACCAAGGGTCAGCTGACGACCACACAGTTGCCAAGGGTCTGCTAACCCATGGGCACGTGGTCGGGGATGGATACAACCTGACCGCAGCAAAGATGGCTGGAACACATGCGCACACACATACACACACCTCCATTTACCGGACTTAGATGGAACGCTTACATACAGCATCATCCTACACTTAGCGTACATCGAGCAGGTCCACATTAAAGCTACTACCAGGCTTTCCTTACGGTATTGATGAGCTGGCTGAGCAATAGAAAAAACACGAATGCGCACAAAAGCATTTCAAGTATAGCAAAGGCTATGTTCCAAAAGCACCTAAAGACAAATTTATTGGCACAGCTATTAAAGTAGGCATTTAGGTTACAGACAAGTCTAAGTACTCCTCTACGCCCCCTAGTGGTTCCTGCCTGCCAGTGCACATTAAGAAGACTCCTATAGGTGGTAGATCAGTCGTTAGACAGTACCAAACTTTATCATCAATGACATTATTTTTAAAGAAGAACAATTATCACCTGAAGAGGACTGGCTACACTGATAAAGAGGAACAATGGTGCTACAGTCACCATTGAAAATGTGCTTTTTTTCAACACAAGGTGCAAGGAGACATTTTGTGACGACAGTCACTCTCAGGTGAAATGTATCCTCTTATCATCAACCAAAAGTCTAAATTATTACACTTAACCTTCAACCTAACACAGAGAGAAGATAACATCTATATGTCAGTAAATATGGTCTGGTTCGCCATTACAGCACTCGGTGTAATGATGCAAAGGAATCTGATGATTATAGTTAAACCCCAACAAACGAGAGAACGTCCTTCATTAACTCAAACCAAAATGTGCACAACAAAGAGTATAGCCAGAGACTACCCCCACTATCTATCGAAATACATAAAAAAACAACATTTTTGGCATGATTGAAAATTTTGGCTCCCACACTTGCATGCTGACCCAATGTTTCCTTCACTTCTTGTTTCATTTTCCGAATGACCACATGGTGTCATAAACGCCGCTATTGGGTGAGGACAGGGGGACTGGGTTTGGGGTGTGTGAAGTGTGAAATATACATGGTTCGACTCCTCCATAGACTTAAGCACTTTAATCCGCTGGCTGCAGAGATATTTGTAAAGCTAAGATAAAATATTCAGAAAGGCCCCAAGAGGTTCAGAGGCAGAGTCATTTTTAGGCGTCTAACTAAGGTCCCATCCCTCGGGACTCGCGGAGATTTCTGGCATCTGCAGATATCTCCTAGCCAGTGAATTACTGAAAAACACTTTGATTGGTGTGATGAATACGTTTCATTAAAAGCACAGTACGCCCAAGGGCTGAGGGAAGCTGGACTCTCTGGAAAATACATAAACTATAAATACACAGTGGACCATCTGCAGAAAGCTGGAGTTAATCCACACCCATCAGTAAAGATACATCAACGTAACTATCATCCTTAAACAAAAAAAGCCCATGATCGGGATGGTAAATGGCTCAATTCGTTTCAATCTCCTGCTTAAATGTCTGGATTTCCCAGTTAGGTTAGGGTAATTTTATACAGCATATACTCTTTCACAGTAACCCTAAAGGAGCTATTTAAATACCTCCTCCTTCCTATATAGATGTGTATGAGGCTTCAGACTCATACCCAACCATAGTTGGAGATAATGATTGCAGGCTTTGCACACTGGCACATTAAAAACCACATTGCCCCCATCGGCCCTATAAACTGACGTCTCATTTCTGCACAGCTAAGCAATTCTACCTCCATAAGGACACAGCTGGCTTTATCCTCCCTATCCTCTGTTAGTCGTCCTGGAGTTTCAAAGAGCAAACTCAGCTATGCAGGGGTACTAAGAAGATGGTAGCAAAGTCACGGACATGACAGTTATGAGAGCCAGAGCCTTGGAGGCAGGCGAGAGAAAGTGCGTTGTTGACAGCATTCAAGACATTAGGACAGGTACCTTCTCTGGTTGCTTGAGGTAGGAAACAAAAAAAAAACCCACAACACAACAAAAAGACAAGTGCATAACAAGGAAATAAATTAGTCAGCAGAATGAGGATGGTCTTCATTTGTGTGCTGTCAGGCAGGTAACTCAGGCAACCGCACGCAGAACGAAAATACAGCGGAATGCGAGACGGCAAAGATGAGAATCGCTCGCCCACAGGTTTTCAGGGCATCATGTTGTCCAGCACTCTCACATCCCACGTTTCAGTCCGATCCGCTTCCCTAGTAACCCTGTGGAAGCACCAGTTATATTTATAGAACAGCTGATACATCAAAGGTTTCCTCTCCCTCCTCGATTTGGGGTAACCAAAAGTTCAGTAAGGGGTCCCACCGTTTTTCACAAGCGAATAAATAAATAAATAACCAATAAGACCGAGAGCAGCTACATGTAAAAATGTCTTTTGAAAAACAAATCAAGGTCCAAAAGTCTGCTACCTTTGAATTCTTCTTTTCAAACCAGCCAAAAGTCATGGATGAAATGTGTCTTGTGCCAGCATGAAATTATTGACTTCATCAGCTTTGGCTTAGACAGGGTGTCTCTCTGAGTAACACTTACTGATCACCTGCAACCATGCTGCAAATGTGTACACAATTTTGACTCTCTTTTAAAGTAGAAGTCGTGAAAAATAGCACAGTATTGCAGATCGACATTGTCAGCAGGATCGAAGCTTCACATTCGCGGAACTTTGACACTTCGTCTGCCTCCGCAAGTCTGGGGACCTGGGACTGTCTTTCCTGAAGCCAGATTTCCCAGGAAGGTGCTTTATATCCGAGGCATTGACATGACGTCCTCTGACGGGGCCAGAAGAATAATTAAATCTCTGTGCATCGTCCACATCTCCACCAATCAGATCGTCATCTCCTCTTGCCCATTTTTGCCAACCAAATCTTCACAGACATGTCACTGTAGAGAGAAGAGGGGATACAAGAGGGGGACAAGGGAGGTGTGAAAGGAGAAAAATAGAAAACTCGGGTACAGAGAACTACTCAACCATCTGCATCTTCAAATGCTTCAAGGAAACGCCCACACAACGGCAGGCAGCTACACATCAACACCGTACTGATGCCCAAAGACGACAACAGAGCCCAAATTAAAAGCCACGAGATGCTAAGCTCCAAAATATGAAAAACCTAATCTGAAAATATCCATTCAAACTGCTAGATTTGGGCACACATTCCTCCTTCCTGGAAAAACAAACTGTCCCGAAGTTTTCAAATAATGCCAAGAGGGAGACGATTAAAATGTGAGGCAAACAAAGCTCACGTGACACACTCCCTGAGCGGATTTTTCCAGTATCTCCCAGAAGTAAACTTAATCCTAATCCTTCGAAACGGTCAAGCTAGATGGTGCTAAGAGCAGCAGTTAATCATATTATGTCTAGAGGCCATCTGATTATACCTGAGGTGTGGGACAAGTAAAAATCACACTGACAAGATGCTGTCGCCTTACTTGCTAAATCTATAGCCTGGCTGTAATTAAAAGGATTTTATATTGCAGGGTTTGTAAATTAAATTCACCGTTACTCTTAGACTTCTGGACTGGGTTCAGTGAATGTAAAACACCTTATTCTTGGTGCATTGGGAGAGATTTTGGACAGCCAGTAATCTGAGTGAAAGGAGAGGAAGGAGGAGCACAGGAGTAACATCTGACCGCAAAGGGGGGGGTGGGGTTGGAGTAAGAAGCCGTACCGGAGGGCAACTGGGGCAAGCAGTGTTAGTGCAGACTCATGGGAGGCTGGTGGCCCGGCCCTTGATGGCCAGAACCCGGCGTGGCAGGCAGGGGGTTAACCCTGCAACGTAGCTCCACAGCTTTACCCGGCAGTCGCTGAGCGCGCCAGGAAGGCGGAGCAGACGGTCAGGAGGAGGAGGAGGAGGAGGAAGGAAAAGAAGGAGAGAGGGGTTCGAATCCAAGAAACATGTTAGTAAAAAGTTGGCAAGGGTGTGTGTTTAAAATAACACTAATAAAACCTACCTACAACGCATCTGCACAAGTACAACATGCCACATCCATGAGTAATCCCGGGGACTGGGTCTGAAGCGGGCCAGCACCGGCCTCACCGTGCACACGGCCCACATCCATAAAGTGTGCAAACAGCCCCTGAACCCGCTTACTGTACAACTCGCCACACACTGCCGTGGTTATTACAGTTTTGTTTAGTTTCCTGCAGATACATCTCAGTGTTATTCCTTTGCACCATCACCGGCAGCACGGAACCTTGTCAAGCCTGCAGTCTCCATACTGGTCATTAACCACTTTTTCGCCTCAACTACAGTTTCAAGCAATATATTCCAAATGGTGAGTCACAGTCATTCTTGCCACCAGAAATGCTGGTACCTTCAAAGCAGTTCAACTGCATGCGCCGGAAAATAGCCATTTTGTTGTCTACAACCTCTTACCACCCACCTCGCCCCCCAGCACCCTTGCATACCTGGAGGCTGTGAAGATCTGCTTGGAGTTGGTGCAGATGGCGTTGATAGGGCTGTCGTGGCCTTTGATCTCCCCAATGGGGGTGAAGTTGTCCACATTCCAGACCTTCATCATGCCCCCCCTGCAGGCGCTGAGGAGCATAGGACGACCAGGGACGTAGGCCAGGGCACATACCCAGTCCTTGTGGGCGTTGGGGATTTGCTGGAAGACACAGAGGAGAGCAGAGGGGCAGTTCAGCTGAGGGCAACACAGGCTGCCATCAGAGCTTGGCTGCAAAGCTGCTGGAATCTGAGGCCCAAGCAATAAAAGATAATACGGAGCGTGAGTCAACGATCGCCGCGGGGAGCCGGGGCGGGAGGCAAAGCGGAGCCGCGCTTAATCTGCATGCCTGGAGATCCTCTACAAGCACCCTGGGAAATAAAACCCAACCCCCCTCGTAAAAGCCTGCGGTGCCCCCCACTTATCTTGTTGAAGCACTGCGACGGCAGTGAGAAAGGCGTTTGAGACGCACTTTCAGACACCGATACGCTGCTCGAGCCACACTGACAAGTGTCGGCATGCGTTGACGAAATGAGCTTGAACTGAACGAAATGAGCTTGTACTGCAACTAGTTAAAATTACCACTGCACCAGTGGCCTTCATTTTGGCTCAAGCAATGGCTTTACTGCATCTGGGTTATACAGTACAGCCCAGTATTGAGCATATCATTGAACTTCTGTCCTCCATTAGGACTCCAGCGACCAAAATGCCAATGATGGCAGGTGGCTCTGGATACTGTTATCACACGTGCTGCCAGTTAAAACCACCAGGCAGAGTCTTACTTTATTCGTTTCTGTAATCAGCGTGAGTAGATATTACATTTATTTAGTAATTGCTTATGTCCAAAGCAATACACAAGTTAGCATCTTAGACCAGGGTCATCATTGTAGCAACCGGCATCGGGAGATTTGCTTAAGGGTCCAATAGGAACACAGGATTTGAACACTGCTCAGGATTTGAACTGGTGACCTACTGATCACGGTCACAGAGTCTGAAGCCGCAGAATCACACACCTTCCAGGTGTGGCATACATTCGCTGTTCAAAGACATCAGAAAATTATGCAAGTGGAGCCACTATCATATTTACTGATATTTTATCCAATTTTCAGGTCAGATACTTTGGGGGGGAAAAAAAACAGCTTCTGTCTCCAAAGCTGTCACAGTAGGAGCAGCATCTAGTTTGGGATAGAGTTGAATTCCATCCAGCAGAATTGCTTCCATTCCCCAGGTAGCCAATCTGTGTAACCTCCCACGTAAAATACTCATATCCACTGGATAACATGCTATTTTTCTCTGGTATACTCAGGACATGACAGGACAAGCAGGCGCAGATGTTCCAGTCACACCAAATATGTCCTTTGTGTCCTCTGTGCACTCAAAAGGCAAACGCAGTGACGGTCTGATCTGTACATTCACTGTTCTTGCTTCAACACATTTGACCTGACAACTGGAAAGGCACAGGTTAGAAGTCTGCAAGAACACCAGTGCAGACGTCTATGCCACCCCAGGAAGAGATCATATTCATGCTAATTACAGATATGCTGTGACATCATGTTAGATCAGGTCTTTGGGTCCTCCCTCCCACCAGGAGCAGCAGAGCGAGCTTCTTGGGGAAAAAAACTCTCTGCCTCAGAGACCTGGTCCACAATACCTCCACTAAGCATCCAGCTGGCTTCAAGACCTCTTTAATGAAGCAGAAAATAAAAACCTGTCTGGGAAAGTGTCACCAACATCAAAGGCTGCGGGGAAGCCAATCACGAGGTGCAAATCTGTCCCCAGTCAGGCCCCAGTGCCATGGAAAAAACCTCTGACTTGAAGCCAAGTGTAATTCAGCATTTCTGTGTTTTGGAACAGAATTAACTGAGAAATGTCAGACATCATCTGGGGGCGAATTGAAACCTAGTGTGATCTTGTTCTCTGTTCTCACTCTTGACCCAGCTGGGTGAGCAGTAAATAAAAATCATCACGGAGAATGATGTCCCATCAAGAGAAGAAGCGGAGCAAAGTTATATTAGGAAAGAGACAAACAGACAAAGGCACAAGCCATTTTAAATAGAGAGAGCATCCCATAACAGCCGCAAGGCTGCCAATACAGTTAGAGCTGAAAGCAACCATTTCGGTTGGGGAAGACCAGCACACGATCCTCCTGGAAACAAGAAGTTATAGTTTATCTTGTCTCATCTTTCAAAAAACTAAGAAATCTGATTTTGAACACAACTGAGTAAGATTAACCCATAAAATGCAGCTGGTCATCACAAAAATGGAGAGGACAGCGGGCTTCTTGGAAAGTATGGTCCTTGGACTAATGGTCACAACCCTTGGAGAAGTTGCTAATCACAGAGGACAGTGTGCTTCCTGGCAAGTCTACTTTGGGCCAAAGGTTACAACTGCACTACACTGTACTTTGCACCAATAATAATAATCGTGGACATTGTTGCTGCCAATTGCACATTTTATTCTATTTGTACATATTTTTATTTCTATTTTTATTTGTAACTCTCTTTATATTCTATAATTTTTCATCTCTATATTCTATTATTATTACAGTTTATATTTTATATCTTTACATTTTATTTTACTACATTTCATTCTTATCTTCTATTTTTATTTTTGTATTCCATTTTATTCTTAATATTGTGTATGTGACAAAGTTTGAATTTGATGTGAATTTGATTTGAACCCTTGATGTAGCAGCTGCTAAGAACAGATCAAATACCTGGATTAATTCCTGCTGCTCCAGATCCCACTTCTTAATGCCATTGTCTCGGGAGCCACTGAAGAGCACCTCCCCATAGGTAGCGAGGCATTCAATGCCGTCATAGTGAGGCGGCTCCAAGTTGTGAGATGGTCCAACGTTGCCCAGTGTGCCCTCTGCCACATGAAACACCTGAATCCAACAGAAGGTATATGGAAAGAAGCCAGAGTCAGTCCCCACACAGGCAGAGAGGGAGTCTATTCTGCAGAACTTCATACCCACATCCTCACCTTGACATAGTGGTCCTTCGACCCTGTGATGACCCGGTCCTTGCCGCCCACAGACTGGCCCACTGTCAGGCACATCACTGGTCCAATGTGACCCGTCAGCTTACCTGCTGCCTGCATTCTGGATGCAACAGGCCGCGGGTTACTCCAAAAAAACAGTACAGACGATACAGGCGGAGACCAATGAGGAAGACGAGAGATTCAGAAAGCAAAGAATCACCTGTTCAAGTCCCAAGTCCGCACTGTGTTTCCAGCAGCGGCGTAGAGAACCGACCCGGCTGGGTTGAGAGCTATCTGGTTGATCTGGTACTCGCCCTGGGTTGTGGTGATGGTACGAGTGGTGGTACCGACACAGGCATCCCCAGAGACAACCTGGCCGGATGACCTATGGGGATAAGGCCAAAATGGAGGTTAGAGTCAGGGACAGAGCAGGAGAGTACACTCAAAGCCTGTCAGCTGACAGATTCCTCTCCTACATACAGTCCCTGTTGTTCCTTGTACAAGGCTAGAGACACGTGCGGATCGTGCCTTACAGTCTGTTGGGCCAACCTTCCCCCTGCTTTGTGGGCTAATGATACTATTGACAGTTGCAAAAAACAGCTTAAGACATATTCGTTTAGTCTAGCCTATGGGTAGGCATGTGCTCATTCTGGTGTATACTGCCCATTGGAGTGTTAATAATCTACTAGGTTTTAATCTTCTGTTTGCAGTGTCTGTTTTCATGTTTGCTTATTATGTACAGCGCTTCGTGCCTTTGTCTGTGAAAGGCACTTTATAAATGAGTTTTTACTTTTCTTTACAGTGCTATGAAAAACATTTTCCCCATTTCTGATTTTGCTATTATTGTATATTTTTGACACTGAACACTTCAGGCAAATCTAATATTTAAGAGTGAACAAATAATATTTACACTCAATGGCAATAACAGGCTGCACCATCTTTATCTGCAATAACTGCAACCAAGCACCATCTGAAAGTCGTTATTAGTCTTTTACATGAAGGAATTTCTGCTCATTCCTCCATGTCGAACTGCTTAAAACCAGCAACGTTTGTGTTTCCTAACCACATCTTAGCTGAATTTTTTTTCCAGCCATTATCATGTAGGCGTGCTTGTGTCTGTCTGCACTATTGTCTTGCACTTAATCCGACGGTTTTATCTCACTGATAGATGACCTTCTTCACAATTCTCTGGCAGTAGATGCCAAAGACTGTTGCTTCAATGAAGGCAAGTTATTCAGGTCTCGAGGCAGCTAGACATCCTCAAACCGTCATCACTAAGTTTGACTGCTAACTATAAAGATCTTACTGAGGTGACACCGTTTGCTTTTCACCAGGCATAAGTAGCAGCACGTCAAAAAGTTTAATTATAAACTCATTTGTCCCTAGAACATTTCTGTGGATCATCTTGAGGGCTTCTCGGCCAACTTGAGATGAACATTCATGTTCTTCTTAGTGGCACGTTGCTACCCTCCCTTGAATCTCATTTACGTCTCTTTCTGCTTGTGGAGCCATAAACATTCACCTAAGCTGAAGCATGAGAGGACTGCACCTCTCTGGATGTTGTTTTGTAATTCTTTGCAACTTTTACAGTGCACCCTTAGTGAGATTAGGGCATGGTGGGCACTCTGATAAAGATTCACTGCCGCTCTAAACATTTATGGCTCTCAGTGTGGTGCAATGTGGCCCCAGAGCCTGGAAACGGCATTTTAACCCTTTCCAGCCAGATAGCTATGAAGAAGCTTTTTCAGATTTCTATAGAAACTGCCTTTGATCATGCCTTGATGTGCTTCTTCCAATTTGTACTGGTACCTTTACTCTTATGGCAGGGGCCAAAATAAAACAATGATCAGGGCTGTCTGTAATGAAGCCTAGTTGGCTTCAATCAGCTGACTCTACCCCTTTCACTCAGCTGATTTATATAATTACTTTTTTCCCCACACAGAGACGACGGCTGTTGGATAATGGCCCTCATCATATAAACGAAATAACTAAAAACCATGTCCTATCCGAGTCAGGTTCCCTCCAATAATATATTTTATCTGAAGATCTAAAAGAATCCAGTACTAGAAAAATCACAATAATTGGGGCAGTTTTTCTCGATGCGTCGGAAGGCTTCCGAAGGCAAGCCGGTAAGCGGCCATTGGGAAGTGCACTCACGTGAACGTGCGCACGCAGCGGGCGGAGTCGCGGATGTCCCACACTTTGATGTAGGAGGTGGAGACGGTGAACACCAGGCATGTGTTGCTGCAGTACTTCACGGACACCACGTTGTTGGGGTGGCCCTTCAGCGTGACAATCTCCTGGCCAGTCACCAAGTTCCACATCTTACAAGTTCGGTCTGCAAAGGGAACAAAGTGGATAAACTCACGGAAATAAATATAAACAGATAACAGCAACGAGAACAACAAGTCTACAAAGGCTATATAACCTGCGGCATATTGCATACTGTATATACTGCATTATACATTGTATAGCGTACAGTATATTGCATAGTCTGGCTCTTTGTATATAGTACATCCCCTTATAGTAATGTAGTGTAGTGTAGTGTCTTGGTATTTGTCAACTGTCTTCTCCGTAATCAATTCACCACAGCAAATTCCTCAGGCACATAGTGGCCCAGGCAAAAAAAAAAAAAAGCTGACACTGATTTGGACTCTCTAGGGTCAAGGCCAAATACACCATCCTGAGTGCCAGCAGAATGATCTGTAAGCCAGAGTGGCCAGTTTTGGGCCCATTTCTTTACATATACAAAAGGTTTGGGGTGTGTTCTACAGATTATATATATATGTGTGTGTGTGTGTGTGTGTGTGTGTGTGTGTGTGTGTATACACACACAGATTTTAATCCCAGTTAAGCCCTGACTGTCCCCACATATACATTAATAGTGGTACTGGTGCTATTTGTGAAATTGTTCCAGTGCACAGTTAAATGACTCTGCAACTACCTTTAGATCCAGTGAAGAGCAGCTCATCTGTGGCATCCAGGCACAGCACAGGTTTGGAGTGTCCCTCAGCCACCGACACGCACTGCAGGGGGGCTGTCCTGCCACCCTTCACACCCCCCATGGGGCTGATCACCCCCCTGTCAGGAACACACATAATCATTGGCTCCTCCAATCGAAGTAAGTGGAACCACCTCAGAGATCCTTATTAGGTCTCAGAATAATGTGAGCCAAGTGATACACCTGAGATCACATATCCTGCAAAGACTATCATATAGATTCTCTATGTACCACTGCTGTATCATAGTCCAGCCAGCTTTCCAAGCCTTAGTTAATAATCATGTAATGGTTATGTTATTGGAATGGCTCATACTATTATCTGCATTGAACATCACACCTTTGTCTCTAACATCGACCTAGGGTCCATAAGTGTGCCTGGCTAAAAAAATACCACAAATCACAGAATAATTATAATCGGATTTACGGTCGACAAACCTGACAGGTCATTCCAGCAGAGGGGAACCAGCCGAATAAATGCAACAAGTCGGAGTCGAAGGGCTGGCGAAGGGTTTACTGGACCGTGCAGCTTAAGGAGGGTGACAGCCTGGCTATTTGAAGTGGTTTCAGTTCTTGAATTAATTTGATAAAGCCGGGGCAACGTTTATATACGGGGGAACCTGTGTTAATGCGAGCCAAACTTCAACAAGTTCAGGCCCTCGGTTTGCAGTAATCCCAAATACGAAGTGAACCCTGGTGCTGTAATTTGCTGTGACCACGATAAAATTACGGCTATAAAACGATCACGCCCGCGCAGCGTGGTTGCGCCTGGCCAGCTGCGGTCATTACTGTCAAAATAAAACCAAACCCAGAGCTTTGAGAACGACGCTTATTTATTTTCCTGGCAAACATTCTAAAGAAGAGAATAATAAAAAGTCTCCGCACGAATGACTGGTGTGTTTCTCTCTCGTGCGCGGGGCCCCAGCGTTCCGCGACGCCAATGCAACGGAGCTCAAACGATCGTACAGAAACAGGCGTATCATCAATTAAACCCAGAGAGCCTCCCGCACCTCCAACTCCCCGGGGCTCCTCGGGATGATCTCCACCCCAGAACGGGGTAACTGATTACACGTTTAAAGAGCACGCCATAAAACGCCACCCACAGCATATGACTGTAGCGAGGTCAGCGATTCCTTTGAGAAATCCTGACGGGAAAAGCATCAAAAGAAGCAGACGTCTAACCTACTGAATTCTCATCATGGGAAATGCTACTGAATGCACAGACTTGCTTCTGATGTATTCTGTAATAATTCACATGAGCGGGGGAGACGATCACTGGGCTGGTCTCCATACCCCAAAGTCATAAAACAATAAACTTGCATACTGTATGCAGGCGTTTGTTCACCTCTTTCACTTCTGTTTCTATTCCCTAGGTTTTAAAAGGAAAATGAACAAGTCTGTTTTTAGTTTATGCACAGTGGTTACATAGTGCCCTCTGGTGGTGAAGCAGGAAAGGACGCTTTGTCAGAATGACCCACCGGGAATAGCCTACTTTCAGGCAGGTGGAGATGCTATTACCGTTTTATTTAACATTACCCTGGTTTAGTTGTTGTTCTGTGATCCCCCCCCCCCCACACCCAAAAAAAAACCCACATCCATTACCATTTGCCCCAGGAAATTCCTTGAAATTGCCTTTAAAAATTCTCTACAACTTAGCAAGAAAAAAAAAGTGTTTTTTCCTCATCCTCCATCAGAAATAACATGGTGGTCCCCCAGCAGACAGCCTTGCGGGTAGAGAAGGAACCAGCAGAGCAAAACAAAAGCAGAACAGACTAAAATTGGTCTCTGTGGGCCAAAGAGGTCCTAATAGGCCAGCAGCAGCAAGATCCAGTGTACCCAGCCAGCAGACCACAGAGGAGCAGAGGGAATGCCCAGGAAGAGGGGGCAGGTAGTTACACGTAAATCAATACAGGACACCTTAGAAGAGAAGAATTCTGGTAGGAGTGGCTAACAGACAGAATGGAATAGTCCATTCCTCAGGACAGGGGGCTACATGATGTCTGCATGACATCAACGTAGTTACTGATATCACAAAATCTCCCCCTGAGCTGTGGCCCAGTGCTCCTGCCCAGCTCCTTTAATTAAAGTTCCATTTCAAGTAGCCAAGAGTACTTCTCTTGCAGTTGACTGAAATAGAAATGGAATTTGAGGATTCGCTGGAATAGTTTCCAGCAGAAACAGCACGGGTGAGAGACCTCTTAGAAGAAGTTTTAATGAGATCTGGTGTTCCACATATCAGCGAGCAGAAACGCCAGGTTGGATCTCCACATATTTAATGCATACTTCCTGGGATCATCGCAGGGGCTGGTCACATTTTTTTCCTGAGTGTGCGCCTCCCCAAAGCAGGAGCATTACCCAGAATTCCACAAAAGCCGTACAGGAAGGCTCACTTACCCGCAGGAGAACGTGCTAGTGCAAAATGGGGAAATGGCACCAGCATGTGGTGGAACCCCTCCTGCAGTTCACAGCACCCCCATAGTCAACCTGCCGACATGTACTCTCACAAAGCACGCCCCACCCTCAAATTGGAACCCCAGTGCAAAAAGAAGCGGCATGCATATCTCCCAGAGCCCAAAAATGGAGTGAAAATAAAGCCATAGAGACAGCGACAGCCAGGGCACTGCAGAGATCTGAACCCCAATTCACAAAGAAAGAGCAGAAAACTAAAGTGTCATGCAGCATTTTAACCAAAAGCAAGATGCGTGGTGGCTCCGCCCACCCGCAGAGAAACGTGGAGGCCTGTGCGGACACACACGGGACCGCCAGATTCACACCCTGTCCCCCCAGCGGCCAGGATTGAAGAAAAGCCTTGATCTCATTTTGATGGGGGTGGGGGGAGAGTGGGGCAAATGTGGCAGCTTTTTGTGCTTCAAAGAAAATGGGTAGGAGTGGGATGGGGGGACTCATATGAATGAATCACCTGAAAGTCACATGACAAGCCTGGGCTGTGGAGAGCTTCAGCTACACCACGGCTGAAGCTGACAGACAGAAGGTTAGCAGCGTGTAGCTGTAACCCTGACTGATGGTGTGTTTGGTGCCTGCTACCTGCTAATTGGTAATATTTCACGGGAATTCCTATGCAAAAGAAGCACAGAGACACAACAGCAGTATCAGTATAACTGCCATGGGGAACAGGGTTGGATACCAACTCTGAGTTACCAAACCAGGGAGTGCGTGGTACGGCACACAGCTGATAATATTCCCAGAATTGTCTGCTAAATTATAAGTATTGCAGTCGAAATCAGAATAAAATCTAAATGTTATCTTCTGTTCTAGATTTTATCTTCTTATAGCAGAATGAAAGGCAATCGACAGAAAATAGTACGATCCAGATCCGTGAAATTTATGCAACTTAATCCATAGCCATCTAGTGGTGACCAGGTGTTATTACATTTGCACCAGCCTTCCATTTTCAAATGCGGCTTGGGTTTTATGTGTCGCTGATGTCAGCTTAAAGGCTTTCAAGGTTCATTCTGTTTGAGGAACACAGCACACACAGAAGAAAGATGGGGTGAGGGTAACCACACAGGTTAAACATGCATACACAGAAGCCCCTCCCCCATAAGGGCGGGGCCTAAAGCTGACGAACCAGGCGAGAGAATGACAGAGACTGAGAGATCTCTACCTGAGCACCTCCGAGAGAGAGGAGTCGCTGTCATCCGACCTAAAGACAGAACAGCAGCAGGGTTAGGGGGGCGGGAGGGAACGGGGGGGGGGGGGGGGTACTCGAAGAGATGGGTGGGCAAGGGTAAGGAAAATGGCAGTCTCGATTGCAGGCAGCAGACGAGGAAGGTAGACCAGGTTAGCAGGAAAGAGGATGCCAAGTTTAGAAAGATAGTTAAGACTGAACATTACAGGAGCCTCTGTGTAACTATTCTGCCCTGCAGACGGTGACTTACCAATCTATACATTTCATGGGTGTGAAATCTGAATGTGAATCTAACCCAACATTTTGCCAAACTGGTAAAACATGAGACGATTATTCCTCTGCTAACAATCTGCATTCGTCCCCACAATTCCACCTGCGAAATGACGCCAATGCAATAGCAGTAATCGCTTAAACTGGGTCAATCTAAAGTTGTGCTTGAAACACCACGTTAAGGGAATACTAAAATAAAATAGAAGCCACTTGGTTAATCCTGCTCTGTGATTAATGCTGGGGGAATTAGGACCCTAATTAAGGCCTCTCTTAGAGGTTTGGGATCCAGGCTGATATGATTGGCCATCGATACATTGCCACCTCTTCCATACCTAACTTTATAGATATTTATTAATACATTTATCTTCTATGCCGCTTACACTATGCAGGGCTGTGGGAGTCCGGAGCCTAAGGCAGGGAATGACCCAGGATGGGGCGCCAATCCTTTGCCGTCTTCCTAGATATTCTACTGGAAAATGAAGTTAGGAGCTGGTGTTTTCTAGGGAATGAAGTTTGAGATTGTAGTCCTGTCACCACTGAGCTCACTCTTCCCCCCTTCTCGTGTTCCTTCTGTGATCACACTCGTCACAACTGTTAAAAGTGAGCTGATTGGCTGGGGCCTGCGGGGGAGCCAGGTACAAGGCCGTTCCCTCTCCCAGCAAGAGGCCGCGCTCCGCTTCCTGCCTGGGGTGGAAATGGAAGCCCCAGGGTCCCGGACCCCCCGAGACCTGCTCCGCACCAGTGCTCAGCACTCTGTTTGCTAATTTCCCTTGACAAAGTTCTTTGTGCTGACTTAAGCTGGAAAAGTTCATACTGAGCTCTTCACCCCAGTACAGCACCATCAAAGGAAAAGCCAAGTAACAAACAGGGTGGGGAATTAACCTCCTGGCAGTTCTGAGTGAAAGAGCAAAAATTCACAACGGGGGGCAAAAAGGCAGCCCTCCCTAACGGCCATAAAAGGTAATTGGGGTGGTAAGTCATTCAGATCACAAACTCCAGCACCTGCTGTTTAGTGGGTAATTCTCTATTGGGTGATGAAGAGCATAAACAGACAGCTTTTGTCTGTGCTCTCCTTATGACTGCAGTGGCAGTTACTGTGGTGAGACCTACGTTATCTGCGATCTGGCCTCACAGAAGTTACTTATTCCCAAAATCCCAGGGCCAGATGTGTGGCAGTATAGGTTTTATTGTGCAGATATCAGGTCTAAAACCCTGACGCAAGGCATTTTAAATCTGTCATAGTCTATGGAGCATCATTTGGGACACTGTGATATTTCCCAAACCCCCAAAACCCTTATTCCAAGTGTTATATATGTAATTAAAACACAGAGTGATATCTCGTTGAATAAGCCTGCTGACACCCATTAGCAAAATTACAAACATCACGCTTCTACGTAACAACCGTCTGGTCACATGGGGCGTCAGATTCCGCTGATGCAAGTGAGAGTTCTACGCAAGAGTCTGAATTAATAACGATGAACAAAGCACATAGGATACACAACAAAACCGACCCAGTTGAGTACATAGAAGAGCATGAACCAATCCTAAAACTCTGACATGCTTATCTGGTGAAATAATGAGAGGAAACAAATGATCATTAAAGTCATTAAAACCACAAATGGTGTTCTCCACAGATATCACTACAAAAAGCATGCTCATTGTGCGATTTGTTCAGCAAGGAGCAACAGCATCCCCTGCTGACAGGAACAGAACACTGCAGTGGTGTTTGCACGGGGCAGACAGTAGCAGTATACACAGGCATGGCGGGTGTCGGCTTACTTGTCCAGCGCCGAGCCTTGACTTTGGTTGCTGGTCAGGCGGGAGAAAACATTGCGGTCGTTCCGAGGGCGAAGTGGCGGGGAGGATGGTGGGGTATAGCCTGTTTCCGGGGGCCTGAGGGCAAAAGGGGGCGTGGAGATTACCTGCTCGGCCAATCAGATTTTCCGTCAGTTGAGCAACAGTTCTCCCCACACACTGGGGCTACCTGTATGGCTGCCCCCGGTCATATGACTTCCTGCGCATCAGCGGAGATGTATCCGGGCCCCGGGATTGCCTGGGACTGCAAAAGGGGCAGACAAGTCTCACTGTGGGGGTTAAAACGGGTGGTCTGTGTACTTACTTAGACGGCCTCATGCAAGATGCAGTGTTACATGCAGTGACTAAACTTAGTGCAGGTTCCAGGTCACAGAGTGCTGCGGGTTTGGGGGAGGGGTTGGATAATTTCCAAAAAAAAAACGACATACTTTCCAGCCGCACCTTTTCGACCTTTGACGCTGATCACATCAGGAAAAATGGAAAAGGCTAAACTTATTGAATCTGACGCACCCCATCCTGTCAGATCCAGAAGTTCAACCAACAGCTTTACCACTGAGAAATTTTTGTACTACATATGCAGGTCATGGAAAGCCACGACACTCTGCATTAATTGATTGACGTTAAAGTGCAGGCCCTGCCATTGGCTTACAAGCAGCACGGTAAATATGGACACCCTGGTGCTAACTCACAATGTATGTCCGCGGACAGGCAGGCTGATGGTGCGAGAGACCCTGTCCCGGTAGTAGGAGTCTCTCGGCAAGAACGCAAGGCCGTTCTCCTGGATCTCCGTTAGGGAAGCCAGTGACTTGGTGATGTTCTTGCTGCCCACGTCCAGCATGGGCCCCAGATGCTCTGCAGACACGGCCTTCAGCTGCGCAGACAGCCGGGGTTCGGTCTGCAAAGGGCGGGGCGCGAGATCAGGCGGATGGTAGCTTCCAGACACAGTGCGGACTTCCAGACTGTAGCACGCACACTATTAGATTTACAGTTATTTAGCCGACTGAAGCCCACTCTACTGAATAAACAGCCCCTGCCTGTGGCTGATGGCATCTTACATCATGCTGGGCAGGACCGGGAACACCAACGTTAACGAGAGTTCTCGGCGTTCTGGATGCACACAGACGGAGGGGGGACCTTGTGCCCTACCTTGAGCTTGAAGTCATCCTGACTGGTCGACACCTTCATTTGGAATGAGTGGGAGAAACTGTGGGACAAAGAAACCAGATGGGATGACGGTTTTCCAGCTTTTTCTGCCGGCGCTGGGCCGCCCAGGTCGGTCGTGCCGGATGCGGAGGCTCACCTGCCCTCGGACGCCTGACTGAACTCCGAGGCCTCCTCGTCAGTGCTGGCGTAGCCGTTCTCTGCAGGGACACGGTTATTGGGCGTTTTCATCATGAATCCTAGATACCCAACAGGGTGGGCAGACCTCTCATTTAAACATATGGGTAAACATTTAAATACTAATGGTGGGGGGGGGACGTGGTACAACAGGTTAGATTAGAAAGTCACTGGTTCAAATCCCATAGTTGGTAGAATAGCCCTTAACTCCACCCCCCATCCCACCACAAAAAAAAAACGTTTCAGGGGTGCTGGATAAATTGCTGAGCCTGCATTCAGAGACCAGGCTTTGCCCTCACCTGTGTGTGTGTCAAAGGATAGCAAGGTGGGATATGTGCTTGTGCAAGCAGCAAAATCATTTCATTTCAGTGGTAAGCCACCTGATTTAGGAAACTATTTCTTCTCCAGGGCTGGAAATATAGCATCTTGGGACCCCCCTCCCCTCTGCATACCGGTTTCTGTTCCTGATCAGCTAATTACCTGATTAAATTCTGAGCATGATTTAATCTGATATTTTTGTGGGCTTGTACGAGTAAACAGTTGAAAAAGTAATGTTAATGTAATTAAACAGTACAAATTCTGATTAATCATTAAATAGATTACTTTCTGAGTTAACTGTTGAATATTTAAATAACTGAATGGCTGACATACTAATTAGACTGAACAAATTTGTTCCATGGAGCTATGGAGTTACGGTAACGGGTATGACTTTTAGTCACAGGATCGCCTGCACCATCCCGATCATGATGTCATAAGGTTCATCAACTATGATGTCATTAGTGATGAAAGGCAGCACATGCACTGGCTGAATCCAGCTTAAACTTGGTTCTGTAGCTGCGTGGCGATCAACCGTGGTCCTGGTCCACACATGGCAATCCAAGGTTAACTCTGTTCATAAAGGGCTGCAGAAAACTCCAGTACGACTAGTATTCATTGATCTACTCATACGTTACGCAGAGAGTGAGGTGACGTGAATTGCGTGATCAGGGGTTTGCGCTGGATGGCTGTGGACAGCGTGTGTGTGTAGCCCATTGGTAGCCCATTGTTTTTGTCCGGCGGGAATCATGGGAATTCATGGGCGTCAACTACACATGTGCATTAGGTAGGGCGCCAGAAGGTGGCAGCACCAACTTTCACAGAGCAGAGGTCAACCACGAAAGCATGGAGGATGAATAGTTGTTGTAGTATTTATGGTGAGCAGCTGCATCAGGAGGTGCAGCGACCTGTGAGAGAACTCAGCTGGGACACAGCAAACTAGTGACGCTCACCCCTGTCATTGTACCACAACCAATGCTCACAACTTGTCTCAGGTCATGGATTAGCAGATAATCTTGGGCAGAGACAGGTTAGAGGAAATAACACCTCTGACCACGTAGAGTGATTATTCAAAGACCAGAAGTAGAGGAAGGTCACCTAGGATCATGGGACCAGGTCAGGGGCCGGTAAGTAACGTAGGGACTGTCTGGGGATGGACAGAAGGTAAGAAAATGGGGAGAAATATGGCACCCACCTTGCTGCACGTTCTGAATAAGGGCTTGCAGTTCCGGGATGCACTCCGCTTTCTCCCTCAGGGCATCCAAGATCACATGGTTGTGGGCCGAACCCATCATGTCCGTCTGCCGCAGTTGGCCCTCCAGTAGGCGGATCTGTGCCTCCTTCTGAGCCACCTGCAGTCCCTGTGAGTGCCACAAGGTGGTAGCCTTTGCTAGGTCATATCCAGTCCAAAGCATTTTCCAATAACCTCAACCTGCTCCGAGGCCCGTTATGCCATCCATATTAGGCGGGCTGCTGCAAATCAACCATTCCATGAGCCACTAACCGTTTGACTCAGCAGCAGATAAATTAGCTGTAGTTAGCTGTAGTTAGATAAATTTGCTATAATGAAGAACTGAAGTTAATCTGCATCCATTCGAACTCACCTTTTCAATAGAGGCTTTCAGGAAGTAGTCCAGCAGGTGGCGAGCTTCGGCCAAGGAGCAGGAGCTGATGACCACAGAGGTGTCCACTGAGTCCAGCTCGTCCTGCATACCGCAACCAGCCACGAGTCAGACCCTGACCCTCCCCGACAAGCAGACAACCTCACCCTGCTAGCCCAGTCACTTCCTTTTGGCAAAACTTCCTCTTACAGTGCAGAACTTCCCTTTTCTACTGCATGAATAATTTCACTAAGTACTGCAATGCAGAGAGAAAGTCATCAATACTATTTAAGCATATTGATATGCTGTCCGCTTCTGTATATTGACCTACACCATTTTTGGAAATATGCACATGGGTTACATAGCTGGGGCAGTTCCCCAGCATAGCATGAGATCACTGCCCTCAGTGCAGTGCTTCCCACATACAGCGACTTCCTGTCCAATGCACTGCCACACTCAAAGCCTTTGTCAGTAGCCGTCAGCATCATGCTGGTTCTCATGTGTGACCAGCAGGATGTGTGTTCAAGTCCCAGCCCTGTTTTTTAGTCTGACGTCAGTGTTCACACAGAAATTCATCAAAAAACATCTATTTGAAAGGATAAAGGCTTCTCACGTTCCAGAAAGGAAGCTTTGCTAATATCGGCCTTGAATATGTGTCCATTATGCAAATGGAATGTTAGAGTAGCGACAAATTATCAAAGGTCGAAGGTCATCTGATACACGGTTCATGAGCATGTGAGGTGCCCGGTCACCAAGTGCCCTTGCCTTGGTCTCCTCGATCTGTACGATGGTGGCCTGGCAGTCAGACAGGCTGTCGTTGATGTAGTCAATGTTGGCGTTGAACACCTCGATTTCCTCGTTCATCTCCTGCAGGAGGCGCGCCCCCTCCTCCGGAGACTCCGCCAGCAGCTTCTCCCGCCGACGCAGGAGCGCCTCCTGCTGCACTGACAGTTCCTCGCGTTTCTGCAGAGGGAGGAAGAGAATTTCCACAGGCCGATATACATGGCATGGTTAAGAATCGGGGGGGCAAGCAGTTAAGGCATAAAGTCCCATTAAATCTCTGGAGGAGTCCTTCTGTTGAACCCTTGAGGAAGACTCCTTGGCTAAACTGCTTCAACGAAAACAGCAATGTCAGGCTCTGGCCTGGAAGGTTTAAACAAAAATTTTAATTAACTTGGAGTTAATTAACTTGGAGTTTAACTTTTAATTAACTACAGATTAACACTCGAGACTCCAGGCAGGTTGGTAAAAGCAACTAGCAAACAATAAAGCAACAATGAAAAATAAAAATGCAAATAACTAGAGTTGGGCACCACAACATGATACCAAAAATGGTCTACAAGTGGCAAAGAGATTTTCTCTAACAAGCAGTGCAGTTATATGGCTGTGCTTTTCTGCCTTTCCACCCAGCTGCCACCAGAGGGCGCACCTTAATGAGCCGGTCCATATCTGCCTCCACGTTGGCAATGGTCATCCTCTGCATGACGATGTCCGTCACCCTCCGCTCCAGGGCCTGCCACTTCTGCCGAGCCGCCTTGGACAAGCCGCTGCCCACCACCTTCCTGGGAAACTTCTTCCTACTGCTGCATGGATGTCAGTGCAGTCAGTCGTCTTTCCATTTCACTGCAGGGTTCTTCCCATTGGACGCAGCATCACCTGAGCTTCAGCGTCTAACACTGGAGCAGGTCTGGCACAGAGGCAACACCTGGTACAAGGCATTAAGACTACACTGGACCCTGTCTGAATGCTAACACCTATGTTCATCCAGAAGCACAGATCCTTCTTCAATACCCTTACCCTCAACTGCTCCAGTGAAAGTTTTCAGCAATATAAAGAGAATAATAACATTTTAGCGGTATCCAGCACAGCCCAGATGGAGAGACACAAGCGTGGCACAAACCTGATAGTACGAGCTGCGCTGAGGGGGCTGTCGCCTTCAGTCAAGTCCCCGTTGAGCTTGGTGTTCCATTGGCGCACAATGCTGGAGACGGAGCGGTTGCACTCCAGTTCGGAGGAGGCGGTGCTGCCGGACGGCTCGGCACCCGAGTCCAGAGGCTGCAGGCGGCGCCCAACACGCCCTGCTACACGCTCGGACATGGGTTTGGCCAACCGGCGCAGCGCTGTCACCTCCTGGGTCTTCCTCCGGAGCACCAGCTCCTGCTGCCGCTTCTGGGACTCTAGGGCCCGGATCTGGTACTGCATCACACAGAGAGACGGGGGGAAAAGACACAAGGGAAGCGGGATCTGTAAACCAAGCACATTCCCTAAACCACTGCTTCTTAACCGGGTCCTCAGGGACCCTCCAGGCAGTCCACCACCCAGCTCCCTGCCTGTCATGGGGTCCCCAAGGACTGGTTTGAAAAACACCGCTCTAATCCCCATGCCGTTGTTTTCCTGGAAGCCTCAAGCTCACCTCTTGCCGCCTCTGTTCTTTCTTGAGCTGCGCAATCTCACGGTTTCGCTTAGCTTCAATCATCCTCTGCCTTTGCTGTTCTTCCTTCATCTGTTTCATTAGCGCCACCTGTGGTGGAGAGACCAATCAGCAACCTGCTAAGAAGTTCTCTAGGACAAACCACACAGTTCCGGAATAATATCCATCCGCCAGCCAAATGGTGAGACACTTCCTACGTGTGACAGTCACCTTTGCCTTCTTCATGTCGGCCACCTCGCCCTGCAGCTTCTTCAGCTCGCGCTCGTAACGGCCCTGGTTCTTCAGCAGACGGCCGTGCTCCTTCTGGGCCGCCTGCAGCTTCAACAGGTCTCTGTTCATCTCCTTCAGCCGTTTCTCATAGTCCGACTTGATCTTGTTGGCCTTCTCCTCCGTATAGTTCTCCATGGACACTACAGAGACAGAATAAGCTCCAAATAACCAAGGCCGCAGCTACAGGGACTCCTCCGTCTGCGTATTGAAATCTCTGGTTAGAGCTAATTTGGTTATAGCCTCAAATGGACAGTATTAAATCGGTGTAATGTAATGTGACCTCCGCCCAGTCGATATCATGGTCTTCAGGGACTTGGGAAGTCCCACTGGAGGAAAAGGATGCAAATTAACTGAGAAGGACAGTGCTGTCTTACTAGCTTTCACAGTCGTAGTTCAGTTATCAACAGTACACAGAGCCTCTAGGTAAACAATGAGTTTATACCCATTTAATGCAAATAAACTCCTAACGGCGGCATCCAAATGAATACTTATTTGATTTCATGGCTAAGCAAATGTCTTCATCTACAGTATCTTCTGTCTATGGTAGATTATGCAGGAGGAAAACTTTGCATTAGCTACATGTGTATAATATTTGGGTTTCATTATACACACGATGTATTTGGAGTTGAGGCTGATTGGTGACAGGGGTTAGACTCCAACAATAAACCGCTGATTAAGTTGAGCAGCAGGACTCACTGAGGTTGTGCAGCACACGGTCCCTCTCCAGCTGAGTGTCACGGATCTTGTTCTGCAGCAGGATCAGCTTCTCCTCGTACTGCAGCTTCAGCATCAGCAGCCGCCGTTGGCTGTTCTCCAGCTCATCAATCAGCTTCTGCTTAATCTCTATCTCACACATCAGGTCTGCCAGGTCCGCTTGGAAGTCTGCTGGAGATCAAGGAGGACGAAGGACCCAAGACAGCAAAGGTCACATTGTGTATTTCTGCACAAAAGTTTGCTCAAAAAACTAATAGCAGAACGTCCAACTACAATTACTATTACAGCAACTCGTGTGACAGATACTGACATACATGAGGCACAAACATGACTTAAGTAATATTTATGTGAAACTGGTTCCGCAGTAATTCTTTTCATTGAAGATTCAGTTATCACACCCAATCAGGCTCACATCTGCTCTCTTAATCTCTAACCTTTCTCATCTGAGTCAGAATCAGAGTCAACCAGGCTCTCATCGCTCTCGAACTCCTCCTCCTCTCGACCACCCTCCTCTTCCTCCCCCTCTTCTTCCTCTTCCTCTTCATCACAGCCGCTCTCTTCCTGGTCTTCCTCCTGAAGGAAGACAAATGCAAATAAACATGTCAAGCTCAATAACAGATTAGAAATTTAATTTATGGTAACCTCCAGGACTGATGGCCAACTCAGCTAGGTCCCCCACCTCAGCATCATTGCCATCCGAGTCAGCCTCTCCGTGTTCTCGAAGTTCTACCCTCTCCCCGTTCTCCATGGTCTCCCCATTTTGGATCTTGGCTCTTTTCTTCAGTCCCTTCTCCTTCCCAGGACTGAAATGAAAGGGTGCATTAATTGCCATTTACACAAGTATATCTGGCTCTCCTTCTGGGATATGCACACATACACAGGTGAGAATGCAACTTGGGCCCCGAGCACAAGGTTAGCCATTTATCCAGCGCACTTCTGGCATTTTTATATATGGGTATCAGATGCTTGGTCAAGGGCCCAATGGAGCTGTGATTATTTTACTGAGGACACACCCCACCCCCCAAACTACTTGCTCAATCAGGTGGCGGCACGTCTCCTAGCAAAGTATCAGTACAGTGTGCTTCCTTCATCTTGTCCATCTCTAATAACCCTGGAGCCATGCTATCTATAGCACCCCCTACATGGGGCAGTTCCGAGAACCTATTAATGTCAAATCATCCGCAATGAAGCTGTTTCACATCACACAACTTTCACGTCCTCTTTCCCCGAGTACGCCGGTCAGATACGCAGTGACCCATTTGACGACACGCCAGCTGGGCACATCAGATCCTGACTGGCAGGGTCCCAGGTGGCACAGGGCTGGGGTATTAATTTGAAACTCAGGCAGGTTTATGCTTCTCTGTCTGGAAAGAGCTACAGATCACCATTAAAAATCATCCCAGGCTACCGTCTCCTCCTCCCAGACAAAAGGGCTGATTGTGAGAAGAGAGACTGAAGGGGCATCTCCTGAATGGGGCCCCCACCATGCAGATGGTCACAGATCCTGCGTGTAGCAGGCAAATGCAGGGCCAGACATGCAGCACCAGCTATATATGCATCTTCAGATAATGAACTGACCGCCTCACTCAGCACTAGTTAAACATAGTCAGTGCCACAATGATCAAAATGGCTTGACAGATGCAAGCAAAAGTGAAATTATTTACCTGGAATCGGGACACAGAACAAGCAGAGATGCCCCTGACCCAAGGTCAAGCATTTTAAAATGCACAAAAACGTTTCTTTTTATTTCTGCTACAGACGGTTTTGTCCCCAATTACATCAAAAATATTACAAGGTCAGACTCCATTTGCCATTTCCACCATAGCTTGAATTACCACCTTAATCACAATTTTCTGATATCTTCCAGGGCATGGAGTTACTCATTCTGCCCACAGAGGGACTTACATTCTTTCCGCTGTATTTGAGGTAATTATAAGCACCTTTTCTCAGGATTATGAGCAGCCTTCCTGAGAATTACAGGAGAGCGTCCTGCCTTGCTGACTCACCTCTTCCTCCGCTGCTTCCTCTCCTTCTTTTTCAGCCTCTCGATGTCCAGCTTGGCTCGGCGAATCACATCAGTCATCTCGGCCTCCATGGAGATGGAGGGGGAGGAGCCAGGAGGGTGGCCCTGGATGGGGCCCTGTGGGGTTGGGTACTGGGACCTGGAGGAGAGGCGGGAGAGGTTGCGGCGGAGCGACTCGTTCATGGCCTCGCTCTCCAGTAGCTTTGACCTGCGGTGGGAGGAACGTGAACACAGAGGGGGTCAGAAACCATCATCAAAGCTCACAGCCTCCAACACCATCTTCCATCCAACCGAAAAGAGGGACATACCTGATCTCCTCAATCTCTCTGATGTAGTTCTGGATTAATGTACCAATCTCCTCATTACCATTACCTGCAGCAACGGTAAAAGCACAGTAAAAAGGATAGTTTAAAAAAAAGAGTAATAATACTGACAACTTAATGGAGCAAACACTGAACCAAAGAGGCAAGGGGATGCAAAGAGGAAGCATTGTAATTAACGATTCGTTTTTTGGGAGACTAAGGACTCTTAGGAGGACCTGTCAACAGTGGGTGCTTACCTGACTTTGCCAGCAAGGCATTAACCTCACTAGAGAGCAGCTGAGTGACACGACTGTTAAGGTGATCTATGGTCTCCTGCATGGCCTTCACCCTCATCCGCAGGGTAGCATTCTCTTTCTGTAGCATGGAGTTCTCCTGGAAGAGGTCGCTGAAGCCCTCTGCTCCATCTTCACCAACTACACGCTTGCCCTGTAGGGGGAACCAGAGAGCAATGACCACCCCTTCATTCCACCATTCAGGCATCATACTAAACCAAATACTCAGCAACCATGACAAGAAACATTCTTCACAAAGAAAAGCAGAAACTGAAGGCAAAATTTCTGAAAGCAGCATCAACGTTAGCGAATGAATCTTGAAAGCCATGGTTGTCCCACGGGCTGCTCCTCGGCTGGTGCCACGCGGGTCCCTCACCGCTTTGTACTCCATGAGCTCCATCTGCAGACGGGCAATCTCGGCACGCAGGGCACTGATCTGCTGGCTCGTCTTGTCCTGGTTCACCACCACCTTGTTCTTGATGTTTCGGGCGCGGTTGGCGTACTTGAGCGTGTTGAGGGTCTCCATGAAATCCCGGTCGGATGGGCTGATGCAGGCGATCATCAGGGTTCGACTGGGATCGGAATGTGGGGGGAGTGGTTAGTAAGCGGCTAGGGCGTGGGTGAGTATGTCCCGACCAATGCGGTGGGAGTACCATGTCTGTTTAGGGCGGCGGGTTCAGGTTTGATCTGGTCCCAATGTAGAAAGCAAACCTAAACCCTTGGTGAGCAGCCCGTAATAACTAGCTGTGCCATGCACCCCACATGGACGCTGCCTCACCTGTTTCCCCCAAGTGAATCCTGCAGCAACCGGGTAAGTTTGGAGTCGCGATAAGGCACGTGGCTGCTCTTCTTACTCTGATCTCCCAGGGCACTGATAACGTTGCCCAGGGCCAGCTGCCAAACACACATAAACACAATTACCTTTAATGGGCGACTAAAAGCATGCACTACGGACCATCAATGAAGGTTAGCTGTTAGCCATTCAGAGGCAGGCAGTTCATGATTTCACATTCTTCTAGTTTAGATAGATCAATAGATACAGACAGTCAGACAGACAGACTTTATTGATCCCAAGGCTATAAACAAGCATTGTGAGGCTAGCATACGAGGCAGTTGCCTCTGACAACTACAGCATCAGTACCAGTCCGCAGTTGATGGAGATGCCCTCACGGGCTCGCTCGCCCGTGGCGCCGGTACGCTTCAGCCGCTCCGAACCAGCCAGGTCCACGAAGTGAAACTTTGCCGTCAGCGTCTCGTACTCAGGCTGTGTGATGGACCTCTGAGACACATCTTCCATTTCCTCACTCATGTCGCCATTCATCTGGGGAAAAAGAACGATTATTAAGTTAGAGGCTAAAGTTGTTGTTTTGTATAGTGCTGAGTTTAACTACCCAAAACATCTTGGGTGCTTCACTACCCATCATCAATTAAACAGAATTGTTTTAATTGTTTTAATTGTTTGAAAAATCGGCGTTTTTGAGCTAATAGCGGGATGGGGGACAGAAGCAGAGACTCAAAGAGGGCGACGATGAGACTCGCTTTTTTGGTCACGTCAGTAGCCCTACCAGCTGGTTGGCCTGGCACAGCCGCATCTGGCAGAGGTGGATGGTGAAGATGGCATGGGAGCGTGAGCTCTGGGCGTTCATCTGCGTGCTGGCCGTGGTGCGCGAGAGGGCCCCCAGCTTCAGGCACTGCAGCAGCTGCGGACGGCCAAGGAGAACCGGCACGTGGCAGATTACGGCATGCAGCAGAACCATGGGAAACCATGAACAGAAGCACAACGGTACCATATAGCCAGGTCTTGGGTTGAATGACTTAAGCACAAATCCCACCGAAAATGACCGTAACCCCAAAAACTACCTCTATCCGAAGTGGAGGACAACACCTATGCTTCATGATTTACCTAGTTACCTAGTACAGGGACACAGAAGGCCTGTCTCAGAAAGGACAGGGCAGGGCAGTAGGTAGGCCAGTCCAGTCTATCATTCAATTCAATTCAGTATATTTTCATGTAGCGCCTTTCGCCCCAAGGCACATTACATGGGTGTGTTGTAATACATTACTGCACCGTTTATACAGAATAATTTAGAAACATCATAGGGCACACACATTGTTGGCAAGCTAAAAAGGCCAATTAGCCTAACCGCTAATATCTAAGGACTGCGAGCAAAAAGAGGGGTTCCAGTAGGCAGCCCACACGACTTGAGAGAATAACCACCACACACACGCCGCGATTGCCCAATCCCGGAGGTGTGACCCAGTCACTTGCCCACTGAACCACCGTGCCATCGGGTCTAGAATACACACGCTTCAGAAACTCTCCCTGTTTTCTCCAATGTCAATACGAACACACACTGCGCGTATTTATGGCGGCTGCCTGTAAATCAATCAGCTTGACCCCTGTTTGATTAATCCATATTGCAGCACCATAAAGGAGAAGACATGAAAACATGCTAAGTCATTCTCAGCTTTCCATTCCCCAGGTTTTAAATCAATGCTGACCCAGCGCCAAATCACCCTTAGCGAGACACACAGTGCGAGCCTTCACAAGACAGTATTGATCACTGAAGATATTAACCAAAAAATTAGGCAGCATATAAGGCAGAATTACAAGCAAAACCAAAGTATCAGCTAATGGTTCTTATACAGGGTAGCTAAGACTTTGACGTTACTGTACTTCAGACTCTCATATATGAAGTTGTGCTGTGTTGCTGTGCTCATTGATGGTCAGTCTGGACTGGATTTATTACTCAGCCTTGAAATAAGAAACTCAGGAAAAGGTCTGAGGGAAAGTTCTCACCTCCTCCTCAGAGGTGACCAGCTGGGAAGTCACCCCAGTTGTGTAGATGCCACCATTGGCGTCCTCATGAATTCGGATGTTGGACTTCCTGCCCCGCGCATCGGGGTCACGGGTGGTGTCGAACAGGTCCAGGATCTCCTCGTTGTACAGCTGGGGGAGACGTACAAACGCTTGTACATTTACTCAAGGAGATGACATCCCCGACACAGACATGAGGTTCTGATTTGGTCTAGATCCTGGGGTTGGACCACCCCGGCTGCCAGCCCAAGATCACTGGGACCAAAAAAATATGGAAACAGCTGTAGAAACAATCACAGGTTTGAGGATGGAGGCAGCAGCCAAGAAGAAAGACGACTGAACCAAACAATCAAGCTGTAGGCCTGCCTGGAAGAGGCTCCCCTGACAGCCTGTAATGGACCACAGTCGTTCCCCTGAGACGCTAATTCACAGTGGCTAAGAAGGCTTGGAAAAATTGAGGTAATTATTGCTCCTTAATGGTGGCTGTGCAGGGAGCACTCTGAGTACCTCTCTCCAGACCTCGGGGCATGGGCAACGCAAATCACTAACCCCGCCTCCTTTTAGGTTAACGTGATTGGACGACGAGAGGAGGGGTGAGCTTGTTGTTCCAAAAACAAAATATATAGCTATTGAGCAGAGTCAGAAGAGCATAGCTAGCTAGCTAAGGTAGGAGAACATGCCGCTTCAGCATTTCCTACAAAAGGTGTGCATTTATTTAATATTGAATTAAATTTTATTGAAATAATGGGAGGGGGGCAAGCAAATGCATGGTTTGAGTGGTGGTCACTGGACGTAAAGTGAACAGCCTTTGGCTGAATCTCACTCATTAGCCATCACCTGATTCAATCAGCCCATCATCCGATTTACATTGATGACCGTCGCACTGTATAAATTATCTGTGATGATGCATTAAACCAACATTTCGTTTTTATGTTTCTCAGTCCATTTCATTAAGTAATCAGCAGAGAGAGAGAGAGAGAGAGAGAGAGAGCGCCTGTGTATCATTGATTAATTAAAACCACCTTCTCCCAAATACACCACAGACTCAAACATCGACTTGCGGGTTCCCAGTGAGAACACTCAAGGGAAATTAAATCTATCCATTAAATAACCTTTTAACACTCAGGGTTCAACAAACAAGCTCTACTTATCGCCAAGTAGTTTGTCCGGCATGTATAACAACATCAGCTTAAATAAAAACTACGCATTTTTAAATCTTAAACCAAATTTTCTTAAACACCCTATCAACTTATCAGCTAACCTATGCAACAAAAATCAAGAGAAGGGTACACCTCTATCAATATATTTAAATGTGTATGTATAAGCAAGTTCTATATATGTATTTATGTATGTATAGTATAGTATAGTATAGTATAGTATACATGTAGTATACATGTAGTATACTTGTAGTATATGTGTAGCATGTATGTAAGTTGAGCCTGAAGTTAACACCCATCTTGTTTCACCCCCACGTACCTCCAGAAACTGTGCGCTGACTTTGAATTCGGGGGGGTGAATGCCAGCCTCCCTGGCCTCTGCCTGCCGTCGCTCGATGCCTTGGAAGAGCTGGCGTACCGCCCGCGGGATGATGCCCTGCTCATCTTTGGCAACACTGACATCGAACCCTGTGCCCATGGTGTAGGTCTTCCCTGAGCCGGTCTGCGAGCGGGATACATCAGCGGACACCATGAGCGAGCAGTAGGGGACCATGTGACTCCCACCCAGCCCTCCCCCGGAAACCCCTTACAGCGTTATGCGACACCATTCCAGTGAAGAGTCAAGTGACTCATACAGCAAAACTGAACACGTGCCTTAAATAGCTACATTGGATGTACTTGCTCCCCAATACGAATCATGCACACCTGCTGCCTTGTCAGGGTGCGCTCCGACAGCCATAAGCATAATTTAGCACTACGCAGAATTAGAACCTCAACCTCTGGCGAAACACAGCATCAGCAACCGAATCCTATCACTATAGCGACCACCTCTGCCTCCTGACTCACATCCATTTAACTCCTGATCAGGACATTGCAGCTTGACTATTACAGCTCCCTCTTGGATGGTCCATGGCTTCAAAACGTAGACATTCCAATCATACCTTGCGTTTCACATCTCAAAAATGTGCATGTCCCATGTGCACCCAAGTCCCCCAGAGAAAGCAAACCTGTCCATAAGCGAAGACGGTGGCGTTGTAACCCTCGAAGCAGCCCTCAATCAGCTTGTGGACGCAGCTAGAGTAGATCTCCTGCTGATGCGCTTCAATGTCAAACACAAAGTCGTAGGTGAAGGCCTTGTCCTTTCCCAGAAGCACCTGGGGCTCTCCAGGTGTCACCGAGGTGCAGACATGGCAACCCTCAATCTTCTCCTTGGCCATCTGGGGCCGAATCCTGCCAAGACAGAACAACACAACTGCTGAAAAATAGTCAATCTAAAGCAATCAAATTTCGCCAGACTCATCCTGGTTCCTGACATCACTACCTAAGCTGTGTGACACAGTAAGAGACTTAACCCAGTTGCTGACATCATTTCCTATGCTGTGTGACACGGTAACAGACTCATACCAGTTGCTAACATCAGCTGTGGTATTGGGTCTGGAGACCATATCAATGACCAATCAATCAAAACCCATTTGGACTGACTTCCACTAGGTGTCAAATAGCCCCATACACATGGTACACAGTTATCTAAATTGATTTAATTTACTTATTTAGACTATAATTATACTATCACAATAAAATCAAGTTGCCTTGTAACGAGTATTATCTTGTTGATTATGGGTAATCAGGCTTATGCTCACATGATAGAAAATTAGCAAACAAGATCTGTTGTCTTGCAAGAAAGCCTAATACAAAACAGTACTTCTGGCAAGGTTGCCCTATACTCATGATCCTAATCTGAGAAAAAAAATCAGAGAGAAGGACAAACACTCCCAAACGCACATGGTCAATCGTTGTGGTACCCAAATCCCCAGCTTTTTCTCCAGCTTTTCGCTGTACTGAAACATTTTTAAGGACAGAATTCAAAAGAAGATTTTAAAAAGACGGACCTAGATGCATCAAAACATCTTATTGATTTAGCTTCAAATATCCTACAAAGAGTATGGTCAGCACACCCAAGGGAGCTTAGCTAAAGGGCATGTAGCATCCGTTGTGCCCCCAATCACACGTGTAAACACATGCGTAAACACATACTCAAACACACACACTCAGGTCTGAGGGAAGCGGCTTAACAACCAATATCTGACACCCCCCACCCCCAACCCAAGGACACACAAAGTCTTATCCAATCAGATCATATTATCCTCCGGATTGAAAACTTGACTGAGTGACTGACTCATGTAAGCAGCCACAATCATATTACTCGCATTTGTCTCTCTTTTATTACATATAAATGTTATTGACAGATGTACTATACTGCGCTTATATACTTGGTACTACTGTAAGTAAACGGCAGCTAAGTTTGATTTATTATACTGAGCTTAATAAGGCAAAAGGAAAGTCAATGAGGACTACAGACAGTGTGCGGGAGGCCTGCTGTCTATGTGGTTCTGCACCGGTCAAAGGCCCAAAGGGCACCTTAAATGGGAAGGAGCTTTATGGGATTGGCTCTCGCCCCACACCCATCATTCTCAGGGACCCCCCACCATTACCAAAGAGTCACTCTCTGCTGTGCCCCACCCCCACTCCATCCC